CTCCACGTGCTTTAGACTTGTTAATTGGTTTTGAAACGCTTTTTACATTTTTATCACACTCAGGCAATGTCACGAGTTTCGGTGACTCAATATTCGAGTTCCATTATTATGGCACATCGAGTTTCACTACAAAAATCGATGCAGTCTTGTTTTTCATGCAGTTGGCTAGGAGGGCGATCAGTAACAAGGCGTTATCACTTCTTAAGCATACTCAATTTGGAGGGGCGTTTGCCTTAGCTCCATTGCAAAATAGAATATAGTCGGTCCGGTTATCAGTATTTTCACTGAGTGTACGTGCAGTTTTGATGGAGGGTTTGTACGGATAAGTCCCATTCTGTACACTTTCCTGGGAATCCCAGTAAGATGATGCACAATGATAACTGTAGTACATAATAGTAACTGTAATAATAGTAACTGTACTACTCTCGTCTCCATTCTTGAACACATGTAGTCACGTCCCAGTTCTCTGATCCACTTCTATCTTTTCCCTAGACATGTGTTAGCTATTACATGCGTTGTTTGTCTTAGGCTTTAAATATCCTATGATAAATCTTATTGATTCCTACAGCCTTGCTACTTTCAAAGCCTTTTATACTGCCTGTTACTTTATCCATAAAAAAGACTAATATCCGTCGCCTGCTGCTGTTCAGGCCGATCTCTCTGAGGCTGGTCGCGGTGAGTGAACTGTTTAAAGAACCCTCACAAACTCCAAAGTAATCGTCATCCATTGCATGAGAGTGTCTGGACTTGGACTGTTAGACTGCGCTTCTTTCCATTTTGAAGGCGACTGATGGTCAACCAGAACACATTGTTTGCCGTTTGAAAATTTCACCCCAGCATCGCATCCAGGAACCAGCTTGCGGTTCAGCCACTGCTTTGAATGCCTTCTTGCACGCGATTTTGTAAGGCTTTAGGACTTAACCCTCTACTTCCAAGACACCTTTTGAATGCAGCCTTCTGCGTGCTAACAGCCACTTGAACCTCTGACCTCCAGCATACACTAGGATATTTATTTCTGACCATCAGGTGGTAGGCCGACCTGATTTAAAGAGCGATTTTAATCGGCAGCCCTGAATAACCGCTTTTTTATGGCTTCCATCGATTTCCGCGCAAAACGGTCATCATTCGATCTGCTCAAACAGTCGTGAAAATCTTTCTCCTGTATTTTCAAAAGAAATAGACTTATACCTTATTCTCTGATTGCCTCCGTTGCTAGGACTCTACATAGTATTTCACCGCTTGCAGCGGAGAATGCCAGCAATAATTTGACGATCGGCACAGAACTCTATGCCTCATTTATCGTCAACCTTCCTTAAGCAACTTGTAGTGAACCAAGAGGATAAATCAAATCGGTCATTAACCTTTGCGTACAAGTATCACTATCAATTGTTTGTATGCAGGTCTCGATGCTTTAATAAGGTATTCATAATCAATGGTCCGTTACTCGCAAAAAATCGCAATATCTTCATGCTCTTACTGTTAAGATCGCCAAGGCCGTCCCTCCCTATCACGCCTTTACGGATTTTATTGTGTACTGGGACATACGCTCTGAAATCTTCCATCAGAATGATGGAATCAGTAGCACGCCGTACAAAGTGCCTATTACTTCATTTAGAAATGACTCATATGCCATATCCAGATTTGGCGGATTGATATGCAATATGGTAAAACATTTCATCTGTTAAAATTTCAGTTAA